CCAAAACTTTCATTATAAAAAGGGAATGCCAGTTTTCTTGGGAGGGTGGGAATTAAGTAGGGTCGGGTTGAGGAAATTCCAGCTCTGCTTGGAGACAAAAATGAACTCAAAATAGGAAAGGTTTCTTCTTACAGAAATCTATACTCCAGAACTTCTGGGTAGATAAGGGAGAATCGGGTTCTAGGGGCACATAGGAATTCTTACAAATAAGTGCTGAAATTTGGATATGGTTAGACATTTCATTTGTTGATCAAATAATTTTGCGTTTGAATAATCTTTATGTTACAAAATTGCAGCACATTATAACACAAAATAGGAAATAACACTCATGTCCACAGGTGGAGATGGGTTAAGTAAATTCTGGTGTATCCATTCACCAAACTACTACTCAGTATATGAAAATTAGTTTGTAGGAACGAAGGCAAAGAAAGTTGTTTATAATCCAGGGTAGAATATTTGGCTTCAAATTACATAATTTAGACATATTCTTCAATAGGATTTAAATTGTGTATGCAGGGACCATGTCCATATTTTGTTACAGCATCCCCAACAGACAATGCAGGGTTTATTACAAAGCAAGTGTTTAAATTAGTAAATTGAAATATATGTACAAAATTATTCCTTTGGAAAAAATCTTAAGTTATGCAAGGGAAACCTCTTAAGAATATACTTTAAAATATTAACTTTAACTCTGGGTGGATTTTATTATTTTTTGCCAACTGGCATTTTTAATTTTTAAAATAATGATACTATTGGTTATTCCAATCAGAATAAAAGCAACAAAACTAAGTTAAAAGTATAGGTTTTCTAGAGCAGTCTTTATAAAATAGCCCATTTCTATATTCAGGTAGTTTACAAGCTGGCTGGCTTTTTCTTAATCTTAGAAAGCAGCTTATTTTCCCAAATCCTCACATTTTATCCAGGATTATCCATCAGTGAACAATCATGTACAGTCTGTTCAGGATTGTGATCAGTATATGAAGTGAAAATTAACAGGAGGTATCTATTGTATGATTTCGATCCTTTATATATTTTCCAGGTAACTGTGGTTTCATTCCTAAAATAGAAATGAAAGCAGAAATCTTGCTGCTTCCTAGGAGAGAGGACGCAAATAGAAACAGTTCTGTCTTCAAAGCCACCAATTTGAGGAGAAGAAGAAAGCAGGTAAAATCCTGGAATCTCATTCGGAATGCTGTAATAATTCTCTGGAGCTGTCAACATATTTATCACTGGAAAATGCAATGCCTGTATTACTAGATATTAACAAAAGTTACATTTGATTGG